AGCAGGAAATTACGAACAAAGTCGGTGCCGTAGAATTTGGTGGACGCGCTGTCATGGGCTCGGGCTGCTTCTATTTCAGACCCAAACTCACCAAGAAATAGACAGTCGTTACGGGCATGAATTTGAGCGGCCCAGTAACAGCCCGTTGTGTCGAGCATTACGCCTCTTAATCTTGCTGAGGAAGTGGCTTCGTCGGATTGCTGTCCCGAGTCCGCCGATCTGGATTGGGAGGGAGTTGATGGATTGATCAACTCCTCCTCTTCCTCCTCCTCCATCTCTTCGTTCTCATCATCCTCGTCCTCTTCCTCGTCGTCACTGTCCTCATCCTCATCCTCGTCCTCGTCCTCGTCCCCGACCTCATAGTCCTCGCCCTCATCCTCCTCCTCCTCGTTGTTCTCCTCGTCGTCGTCGGGAGGATTCCTGAAAAAAGAGCTTCTTTTATTGTTTCTTTTATACAAATGCAAATAAAGAAAAAAGAAATCTTTACATGCATATTTTCGAGCAACAGAGTGAGTGAGATTGTTTGCAGGGGCTTACATTGTTGGGGTTGAGGATTTTGATTAATGAAGTTTCGATTTGATGGAGAAATGGGAGGGATTGTATATTTGTGCATGACGGGCCAAAATGAGGGAGATGGAGAACTAAGGATCCAGCGGAACTATGAACAAATTATCTGAGGCTGTATTGCCGCCTCACTGTGGCGCGTGGCGGTACGGCCGAGAGATGCTTCCCGAGATTTATTTTTTTCGGGCTTACCGTTTTGGATGCAAGACTAAATAAAAAAATAATTGTTAAACATAATTAAAATTAGTGTATATAAATTTAACGATTGTTTTGTTTTTTTTTAAATATAATAAGTGTGAATAATTTCACTTATAACATCATATCCAAATCTTGAATAATTAAGAATCAAAGCTGAAATTTAATCAAACGAGTCGAGTTGTGAGCCAAAATTTTAGTTTGAATTTTTTTCTGAGCTGGCGCAAACTCTACTCAAAATCGGATTGTTAGCAGCCCTAGTGATGTTAGGGTTGTAAATTTAGTGAATTTAGCTCGAAGATTGTTTGGTTCAGATTGAAATAAATGAGTCAAGCTATGTATAAGGCAAAGTTTTTGATCGATTTTTTTTTTTGAACCGACCCAGCTCCGCTCAAAATCGGGTCTTTAACAGCCCAACTACTAAGTATGTCTAAAGAATTGGATCATTGTTTTTTCTAGTTGAAATTTTATAGAATTTAAAAAGCCAAAACAACGTACACATATATTTTAATAGATATATATTATAGTATCATATTGATTAAATTCATTTTTTTTTATAAATATACTGAAAATAATCAAACATGTAAGAGTACTATAGCTGATTCTTGAATTAGACTTTACGTGTTGATATTACATTTTGGAGGCTTGTAAATGGTTAAAATGAGGATTTCTTTCTTTTCTCAATCACTATTATAATAAGAAGTTCATACATTCAAAATGTACCAAGATAAAGATCTCACCAATTCACTTATATATTGTTCTTCTTGGATCTTCTATTTATTCTCTACCGTGGAGCCAAATAATCAAACATAAAAACACATTTGAATGATATCTATCATTTTTTGGCAAACTCTAAGCTTGAACATTGCTAGATCTCACATTAAAGGCTTTCAGGTATTAATATTTAGGAAGAATGGTTGGATTTAACTTCAGATATATTGTCTAGTTGCTTGGTCCACATGCTCATCCTTCTTGTTACTCATGTAAAAATATTACATGTGAAGTAGCAATGTTCAATTACATTTAGACATAATTTGTGTGATGTTCAGCTGTAATTAAATCTCTAGACTCAGAATGTAATATTCTCATCTTGGACCAAAGACCAGTAAGTTAGTGATGACACTTTTTTTTCTATTAATTATAAAAAATAGCCAGTGATTCTAATTTCTTAGTATTGTTTATGAAAATCGACTACAAATATGAGAGAGAAATATTATTGAATGTTACATAGGGCCCGTTTGCTTTGTTATATATATATATATATATTAATGCATCTGAAATATTTTGGAGCATTTGGTTTGATATAAAATACATATAGGAATTTATACTTTTGTGTTTGATTTGAGAAAAAAAATAAAATTAATATAAAGCATTTTCATCATCAATGTTGACCGGTGACAATATTAATCATTCTATGTACCCTTCTAAACATGGCAATATGAGACATACAATCAGAAAAATAGTCCTAGTCATAGCAGTTCAATAACATAAAATAGTTTCCAGAATAAATAAATGTTTATAAATAATGTTTGAAAAAAAAAAAAAACATCCCACAACTATCGTGTCTGCACTTTGCACGCATCATTAAAAAATTTATAATTACCGAGTACTAATTACATTATAAAATTAAATATTCAAGTTAATTCAAATAAAACATTAAACATAAGATTCTAGAAAAAGATTCTAAAATTTTTGAAGAGAAATAACTCAGTGAATGTATAGCAGTCAGTCATTCGCATGCATGTAAGCCTCACCGAGCCGCCATTGCTTATCAGTGTTTCTGACTCCCCGGATGATGTCAACCACATCCAGAATTTTTATAGGACACTTTTTCCAGTCCCTACATCGATAGAAGACAACAATGTCATCAACACAAAGCTGCATCTCATTCGCAAACATGTCCCAACCCGCAGTGAGCACGTAGCTGTGATTATTACTCCGATAACAATATTTAAATGCCCATTTCTGATTTCTCCTATCTTTAAACTCAAGCCATACTTCGACTGTTTTGGAATTCAACGGCGGAAAGTAAAATAAAGCTTGATAGGGTAAAACCAATACTTCCTTATTCTCCATGTCAGTCAAAATCAGCTCTTTATGAAACATTTCCTTAAAAAGGTTCCCAGGGATAGTGTCCAAAGCGGTAGGCCATGCAACAAAACCGCTATAGCTGAAGTTTGGGTGGTGAATCCAAACAAACTCAATGAACTTGGGTTCGTAAGAGCCATCCCGAATCATATCAATAACGGCTTCGTTGGTGTACATGCTCTGAAAATTGGGTTCATGAATGGTGACATTCGTTAAGAACAAGTTACGGAAGAAGTCACTGCCGCAGAGTTTTCTAGCCGCGCTATCGTAAGCTCGGGCCGCGGATATCTCAGACTTGAACGTTCCCAACAATTTAAGATAGTGATTATTGTAGATTTGAGCGCACCAAAGACCATTTTGCTGAGGAACTACACCATCATACCGCGATAGCAGAAGGGTAGATACTTGTTGCTCTCCCGGTGTCAATGGAATCTCATACGACGGGTCCTCGGGGGAAGAACTCCTGCAAAAAGAGCGTCCATTATCTTCATTTTTAATTTTACACAATATATCTTTCTTATGGAAGATGCCAATTTATTGTGATTATTATTAATTCTCTTTATGCATATTTTCAAGCTACGGAGGGTGAGTTAGAATGTTGGCAAGGACTTACATTGATTGAAGTTTGGGTTTTGAAGGATAAATGATGGAGATAAGTATCTGTGCATGGCAATCCAAATGCTCGGAGATAAATGAAGAGGAAAAGCCAGGTAAGTTATGGGCTCGAAATATGAAGAAATATCTACGAGGGAATATTGGTGAGAAAGATACACGTCGCAGTGCGGCAATGAGTTGGTTCCGCAGAATGAGTTTTTCTATCTTACCGTTTTGAATTCATTCCCTTCATAGGGTTTCTTTTGCGAAAAGATGTTTTATAATTACATACACAGCACACAAAATATTGTTATTTACAAATCTAACATCCTACTTTAGCCTTATTTTCTCAATTTCCTTGCGGATATAACTATACATCACCACCTTCTTCTCTTGCAAGCCTTAACTTAAAATTACAACAATAAAGTTTACTGATGAAATAAAATTTTGGTTGTAATTTCATGATGTAACATTAAATATGTGTTATATTAAAGTTTAGAATATGTTCTAAAGGTAGGCATATGATTTCTTAAACATCCTTGTGTTATTTCTTTGAACTATAGCTTTTGTCTAGATTTATATTTGATTTATGTATATTTTAAATCTACTTTAATTTTAACATAACCTATTTTAATTGATGTTTACTTATATTTGATCAAATTTTATATGTTTTTTTTTAACATTTTTTAATTTTTAATTTTATTTTTTTTCAAATAAATTTGTTAAATTAAATTTATTATTTGAATTAATCATTTCATAGATCCATAAAAAGTCTTAAAAAAGTGTTCATGTATATATATATTGGTTATATACAAATAAAGAGTAATTTATAGACATACTCACACATCTAGCCTCCAAAAGCTTAGATATATTTTTCTAACACGCGAAACATATTAACAACACAATTATTCATTCAATGTTATTATTCTTCGTTGAGGTTAGTTGTACGCTTTGAGCTTTGTCCAATTGGAAAAAGGACAGACTTGACCACAGAGCTATCATGGAATGAACTCGTGATACCTCAATCAATCCGAGACATCCTCTTGTTATTTGGGGATGCCTAAAGAGAGGAGTTTGGAATGAAAGTTCACACCTGCCAAACAAAAAGTAAAAGAAGAATAATAGGATTTAACTTCAGATATATTGCCTAGTTGCTTCGTTCACATGCTCGTCCTTCTTGTTACCCATGTAAAAATATTAAGTTTAAAGTCACGATATATAATTACATATGGACACAAAGTACAATAAGTCTTAAATTGTGTGATGTTCGGATGAAATTCTACCTCCGGACTCTGTATGTAATATTTTCAACTTGAAACAAAGGCCACTTAGTTAATGATGACAATTTCTTTGTATTATTTATAAAAAAATAACTAGTGATTCTAATTTCTTAGTACTGTTTTTGAAAAATTAGTAATATAAAAATCAAATAAAACTATGAGAAAGAAATATTATTGAATTAAATAATTGTAGGACATTGATATTAAAATTCAATTTCCATGAATAAATAATAGAATGCATGTTAATTTGGGTGTAGATTATAAAACTTTGTTCAAAGAGAATTATCATCATCAACGATAATTTGGATGTTATAAGAGAAATGCATATTAATATTTTATAATTTAGAATGCATCTGAAGTATTTTTGTTTTTTAACAAAGCAAAATATTTGAGCAAAGAAAAATATTATAAAAGAAATGAATCATAATTCTAATTTAATGCATCTGAAGTATTATGGAGTATTTGGTTTGATATAAAATACATATAGGAATTTATACTTTCAGGTTTGATTTGAGCAAAAAATAAAATTAATATAAAGCATTATCTTCATCAAAGATGAGCGGCAATAGTATTAATCATTCTATCTGCTCTTACAAACGAGAAAAAATTGCATACGTAAGGCGTACGTCAGGAGGTTATACAGAGGGTATTGGGGGTTATATCCACGCTATTTCTCATGTAACCTCCCTGTAACCTACCTGTAACATACATGTAACCTACAAATATATAAAAACAGAAGCGCGAAACTTATTTTTAGGTTACAGGTAAGTTATAAAGTAGTTACAAGAGGGTATAACGTGGATATAACCTCCCAATACCTTCTGAATAACCTCCCCAACGTACGCCGCGCTACGTACGTCTTACGTATGCAAATTTTTCTCCTTACAAAAAAGGAAATATGAGGCATACAATAAGGAAAATAGTCCTAGCCAAAACAGTTCACAATAACACAAAATAATTTCTAGAATAAATAAATGTTTATAAATAATAATTGGAAAAAAACAACCCATAACTATCGTGCTTGTACTTTGCACCCATCATAAAAAAGATTATAATTCTCGAGTACTAATTACATTATAAAATTAATCCTTCAAATTAATTCAGATAAAACCTAATTTTTTTTCTAAACAAAAAATTTTAGAAAAGGATTTCAATATCTTTGAAGAGAAATAACACACTGAATGTATAGCATTCAATCGTTTGGATGAATGCTAGCCTCAAGCGAGCCGCCATTGCTTATCACTATTTCTGACACCCCGGATGATGTCAACCATATAAAAAATTTTGGTAGGACATCTTCCCCAATCCCTAGATCTATAGAAGACAACAATATCATTAACACAAAGCTCCATTTCATTCGCAAACGTGTCCCAACCTGCAGTGAGTATGTAGCTATAATTATTACTCCGGCAACAACATTTAAAAGCCCATTTCCGATTCCTTTTATCTTTAAACTCAAGCCATGCTTCATCTGTTTTGGAATTCAATGTTTGAAAGTAAAATAAAGCTTGATAGGGTAAAACCAATTCTTCCTTATTCTCCATATCAGTTAAAATTAGCTCTTTATGAAACATTTCCTTAAAAAGGAACCCATGGAGGGTGTCCGAAGAAGTAGGCCATGCAACAAAGCCGCTATAGCGGAAGTTTGGGTGGTGAATCCAAACGAACTCAATGAACTTAGGTTCATAAGAGCCATCCCTAATCATATCAATGATGGCTTCTTTGGTGTGCAAGCTCTGAAAACTGGGTTCATGAATGGTGACATTCGTTAAAAGAAGGTTACGGAAGAAGTCACTACCGTAGAGTTTTCTGGCGGCACTATCGTAAGCTCGGGCTGCAGATATTTCGGACCCGAACGTTCCCAACAATATAAGATTATGATTATCGTAGATTTGAGCGACCCAGAGATTATTTGGCTGAAGAGCTACACCATCGTACCACGACAATAGCATGGTAGATACTTGTTGCTTTGCCTGTGCCAATGGAATTGCATACGGCGGGTTCTCGGGAGGAGAACACCTGCAAAAAGAGAATCCATTATCTTCATTTTAAATTTTACAATGTATCTTTCTCATGGAATATGCCAATTATATATCTATATATATATATATATATATAGTGATAGGATGTTTAGCAGAGACTTACATTGTTGGCGTTGAGGCTTTTGATTGAAGTTTGGGTTTTGATGGAGAAATGATGGGAATAATAATTTGTGCATGGCAATCCAAAAGTTAGGAGATAAAGGGGAAAAGCCAGCCAAATTCTGGGCTCGAAATATATGAAGAAATATATCTAAGGGGAAGTATCGGTGAGGAAGAAACTCAGATTAAGTTGGCAGTATTACCACTTCAATGTGGAGCGTGGCAGTGCGGCAGTGAGTTGGTTACGGAGGATGACTATTTCTATCTTATAAAAACAAAGTGACTGGTTCAAAGGAGTGCGTTGGAGATACTTTCTTAGCAATGCATGCGTGGAATGTTATCATTGGAAGGTTTGAAAAATGAGAAAATTTTATAAATCGACTACTTAATGATTTAATTAAAGTAAATAAATTTTTTTAAAAATATAGAAACAGCGACAATGCTTGAATACCTAAAATTCAAAAAAAAAAAAAAAAATCACAACTAATCCGGGGGATCGAAAAGAAACCTGCTGATGTCAACTGGATTCCGATCTCCCACGTTTACTGGTCGTTGGTGGCCATCTCTCTCTCTCTCTCTCTCTCATTTTTTATCTATTCATATATCTACTCACACACATTATATCTATCTATTAAAAAAAATCAATAGGCAATATTATATAATGTCAAAAAGAGGTATACAAAAGAAGGATTTCAGGATCCTCTATCCGGTATACAACTCACAAAAAAGCCTTCAAAAAAAGATACGTGTACCAAAAAAACAAAACAAAAAAAAAACAGTCACATATCCTATGCAGAATAAAATGCAAAAAAAAACAAGAAAGTAGATCTAATAGTCTTTTGTCCAATGTGCTTTTGTCTCAACAAAAGAATAGGATCATCATAATACAGGAAATAACAGTGAATACCAACACCAAAATGCGAGACCACCGTGAATAACACCATGAAAACACGGAAATAACAACACTACGCAGTATACAGAGAGACCAGAAAGTAAACTTGTTAATAACACCACCAACATACAAGACATAAAATATGATACAACCGCGAATAACATAACCAAAACGCAGGGTAGAGACTTCAATAACATTAACAAAATACAGAAAGACACCACCAGACGATAAGCATAGAGCTTCCAATAACACCATAAAATCTAGTTGCCTCCATGAAGCCCCAAGGAAGGATATAATTGCATGTAACAAAGAAACCAAACAAAGTGGCAGGAAGAAGCACTACTATAGTTATAATACCATAGCAAACCAAATGAATGTCCAAGAGAAAAGCATTCCATGCTCCCAACGATTTTGTGGTATTTCAAACAGAGCACACAAAATATTGTTATTTATAAATCTGACATCCACTTTCACCCTTTTTTTAAATTCTCACTGAAATATCAAAATTCAGGATATATATTATTTAAGGCTTTGTGTAGCTTTATACAACGTTGTTTTTTATTTTTCTATTTTTTTATTAAAATTGTTTTTTATTTTAATATAATTATTAATTACTTGATCTATAAAATTTCCCCATTTTCTAATTTGCAGGAGCAAAATAAATCAATCAAAAAATAATTTTAAGCATAATTTAATATACAAGGAATTTAAAATTAAATTCTTTATTGTAATCTTTAAAATATTTTTCAACTAATTAGCTAGCAATAGCTGCATGTTGGGATCATTCTGAGTTTGGAAAAAAAAATATTGTGTTCAGAGTCTGGATGCAAAGAGACGTCGTGAAAATGAACGTGATCCAGACGGAGTGAAAGAGAAAATAATTTTTGAATGCCCGTTAGATGAAGCTTCTCAAGGCGATTTGTGGACTCAAGGCGAAGCTTCTCAACCCATCCAATTGAAATCTCACCTCTTGGACAAGTGTATAGCTTGAAAACTCCTATTTTGACCTTGTTGGGTTCTTTATGAAGAGACTGAACAATCCATGTCCACTTAGCCATATAGATATATTCGCCTCACTTAGTTGAAGCTATAAGAACAAACCCCATGCTATTTAGTTAATTATCGAGAGAGATCTTAGCGTTTGAGTATGGACGGTTCTCGGCTTAGAGCTCATATTGGGCGATGAATAGATGTCGTCCATTCGCGTGTATTTGAAATGAACGGCGTGGATTGGGTCGGATGAAAGAATGGAGTGTGAACAACAGACTAATGAGGCGGCCGACGTGAAAAGCATAGCGAATGGGAGCTCGCTGCATGGGGATTCGACGGGTCCGATGAGTCAGCCAACAACTAAGTGGTTAAGTAGATAAATAGGATATCTTCTAATTTAAATAATTACATAAATTTTAAAAAATATATCTTGGTGTTGAAAAATCCTAAAAATTAAATAAAAATACACCTGTGTTCAGCGAATAAGGGAGAATATTATGGACCAAAATTTAAAAATATTTATTTAATATTTAGTGGTTAATTAATTAAATACCCCATAACGTAATTAAATAATAAAAAGTCAAATATTATCACCATGGCATGAAATTTTGTGGGCTTGCTTCTCATGTGATTAGGTAGGTCCTCTGATCGAAATAAACGAGTCAAGCTACGTCCAAGTCAAATTTATTGATCGATTTTTTTTAATCGACCTCAACTCAGCTCAAAATCAAATCTTTAACAACCCAGCTACTAAGCATATCTAAAGAATCAAATCATTTTTTTAGTTGAAATTTTATAAAATTTAAATAGCCAAAACAACTTACACATATTTTAATAGATATATATATATTGTAGTATCATATTGATCAAATTCATTGTTATATAAATATACTAAAAGTAATCAAACATTTAAGAGTACCATAGTTGATTCTTGAATTGGACTTTACATGTAGATATTCCTTTAAGGAGGCTTGTAAGTGGAAAAGAATGATTATAATAAGGATTTCTTTCTTTTCTCAACACTATTATAATAAAAAGTTAATACATTTCAAAATGTACCAAGATAAAGATCTCACCAATTCACTTATATATTGTCCTTCTTGGATCATCTATTTATTCTCTATTGTGGACCCAAGTAATCTAACATAAAAACTCATTTGAATGCATCTATCCATTTTTGGGAAGATCTAAGCTTGAACATTGCTCGAGCTCACATTAATGGCTTTTACGTATTAATATTTAGGAAGGATAAGCACCTTCGACATTTTGAGAATTAAAAAGAAGATAGAAATAGTGGTAAACATTGTATGCTTTTATTTGACCTAGATTCTACACCATTCAAAAATTATAATCTTGATTTGACATTTATAGTTAGCTGAAGTCCTATACATCACCGCCCTATTCTCTTGTAAGCCTTAACTTAAAATTACAACTATAAAGTTTACTAATGAAATAAAATTTTGGTTGTAAATTTATCATGTAATTTTAAATACATTTTATAGTCAAGTTTAGAATATATTCTAAAGGTAGACATATGATTTCTTAAACATCTTTGCATTATTTCTATGAACTATAGCTTTTGTCTAGATTTATATTTGATTTATGTATATTTTAGATCTACTTTGATTTTAAAATAATCCATTTTAATTAATGTTTACTCATCTTTGATCAAATTTTTAATATTTTATTAATTTATTAATTTGTAAGTATAATCATTTTTAAATAAATTAGTTAAATTAAATTTATTATTTGAATTAATCATTTCATAGGACCATACAAAGTCTACTCTAGTAAATTGATTTAATTAAAAATGTGTTCATGTATATGCATATTGGTTACATAAAAAGAAAGAGCAATTTATAGACATCGACCGGAAGCATATCAATTTACATATCAAGCCTCCAAAAGTTTATATTTATATTTCTAACACTCAAAACTAATTAACAACATAATTATTCATTCAATGTTATTGATTCTTCATTGAGGTTAATTGTACGCTTTGAGCTTTGTCCAATTGTAAAAAGAACAGACTTGACTACATAGAGCTATCATGGAATGAACTCGTAGAACCTCAATCTATCCGAGACATCCTCTTGTCAGTTGGGGATGCCTAAAGAGATGGAGTTTGGAATGAAAGTTCAAACATGCCAAACAAAAAATAACGAAAAATAATGGGAATTAACTTGAGATATATTGTCTAGTCTCTTCGTCCACACGCTCATTTAAAAATATTACTTGTGAAGTCGGGATATATAATTACACTAGGACACAAAGTATAATAAGTCATAAACTGTGATGTTCATATGTCAATTAGGACAAACCAGTTAAGTGGTGATGATAATTTCCTTATATTATATATATA